TGATCAATGAATCATCAATATAGAAAGTGCAACAGATGCCTTGTTGTCTGAACCAAGCAAACACTGCTTTAATTACTTTTGTAAACACTCGAGGTGCTGAGCTAATGCCAAATGATAACACRTGATGTTCATGCAGAATGTCCCTCCAATAAAATCTGGGGTATTTTCTGAAGTCTGCATGAATCGGAATGCTACAATATGCATCATGTAAATCCAGAGATGTGAAATAATCATTCTCTTGGATAATGTCTWGTAGCTTTGTGAAAACAGCMCCATCTTGAAATGCTCATCTCTGTTTACTTTTAAGGCAATCAAGRCAGTTTCAATTTTGCTGCATTCTTTCTTGCAAAGCTGGTCACTAACAGCAATTTTGCWGGTTAACCATAGCACAGAATTGAATTTGCAGCTGTACTTGCTTCTTCTGCCATAGCTGACACAGCAYTTCTGTACACACTGTCTTCAAGTAACCATAGCACAGTATTMAACACYMTTGCACCTTGCATTTGCCATAAGGGAACTGTGCATCGCCCAACATGGGACTTSAACCCATGACCCTGAGATTAAAAATCTCATGCTCTACCAACTGAGCTAGTTGGGCTTTTCATCTAACAAATTTATTCAGCCCCTTCAGATTTAGAATAGGTKTGAGTTTACCATTCTTTTTTGGTTGAACAAAAATATRAGAGATGAACTGGCCTGAAACAGGTTTTACTCTCCTGACAGCACATTTGGCTATCATGTTCTGAATCTCCAGATCAAGCAGATCTGACTCATACTCTGAGAACTGAATTTTGATGGTATTTGACAGCTGAAGTGGTTCAGTGACAAAGTCTATTTTATAGCCCAAAACAGAGCTCAAAACCCACTGATCTGCTGTAATGCTTTCCCATTCTCTTATGCAATAGGCTAGTTTACCAGCAGTCATGTGTGTGGTCCACTGACCCGTTTGTCAATCACGATCAGGAGGTTTGCCAGCCTGTCCCCTCTGATCCATGATATCTCCCATCTTGAAGCTGGTGTAGGCTCTTCTCTGGGACCTCGTCGGGAGTACGGTCCCCGCCAAATCCGGCGCCGYCCTCTCACGCTTCCTCTAGCATTCTGGAAAGCATTATACTTGKTGTTGTACCTCCCAGGAACACCTAGGTYAGGATAACCAACAGACACCTTAGCCAGTTCATTTATCMCTTTGATCCGCTTAACCAAGTCATCATCAAACAATTTTGCTGAAATTAGCATGTCGATGGAACACAAAGAGGTGTAWATTCCTTGTAATCTTGGCCGGATTAAATAACGTCGTCTCACCGACAATGAGTGCATAGTATGCCTTAACAGGCTAATAGCATCAGACAACAACATCTTGTGCTGAACTCTCTGCGCCACCGGCAGAAAAGCCATGAATGAGGCCAAACGCAGTACAGGAATCATCCCAGCGGCCAACGTCTGCTGTAATTTCTGAAAACCCAAATCAGACTGCTGGACCCTGTTTTGCAGCCAAATTTCCTCATTAACTTTGGGTGCCAAAAGCTTAAAATTAAAATTATTGGGACGAGGGTATTTATCAGTAAGACTCTTCACCGAGTCCTCACGTATTCTTTTTATACATCCCAAATCCACAATAGAGGCTAAATTATTAGCTATAGCAGGTCCAGTTTTCACCTCTGAGTCAGCCTGTGGAATACTCCACACCTTCTCTGGATCTCCATCCATATTCTCAGCAAACGCTGAGGGATCAAAAATAAGATGGAGCCTGAGAGCCATCCTGCTTGCCTGCACTTGCAGTGTCTGGCACCTCCCAGCTATCATCATATAGGCTGGAATCAGTTAAATCAGACAAATCCTCTGTATTAGGTCCTCTCACAGAACTTCTAGTCTGAGAATTTCGTGCCAAAGTAGCAACCGCGCTCGTCAGCAACGAGAGCTGAGACATCAGCTGATTAAGTCCAAGCTGTGATTTCAACTCACTTATATTCAGATCAGCTTTGTGTTGCACGTTAACAACATCACTCTGTGTCTTTGACTGTTGTGCTGAACCAGCTGCCGTCGCCGGAAGTAGCTTGGAGCTAACACGGCTCCCTCTTTTACCAAGGCTTAGCTTAGCTTTCTTTGCCTGCGCCACAGGTTTGCGGACCACTGGAAGCCTGACACTTCGGTCGGTCAATCTGACCAGACACAAGAGTACACTCACTCTGAGTTCGAAAAGGCGAAAAGCCCCGAAAACAGATCAAGCACGCCCGCTCGAGCCGAGACGGGCCGACTTCACACTCATCATCACTCATGTCGAGACTACGTCTCCATCAATATCAATGAATCGCCCTCACCAAGTGTCATTGTAAAAGAAAGAGACAGCGTCTCAATCACATATCAAATCCACCACTGCGTGGTGCCATGACAACAATACTTACCTCTCGCTCTCCTCTCTCAAACATAAAGTGACGGAGACCAGGCTAGAGAGCCTACTTATGGGGTCGCTAGGCATCATGAGTAATTGCCTCTTTGAAGAAGAGACTTCACTCTCACAATATCTCAAATGATGCTGTTTACATCCCTGAGACGAAGGCGAACATAAATGAAAAATAATGATCAGTRAATCAGTACATTTGATCAGTAGCACCTGACTGATACTGAACCTCTGAACTTAGTTTTTCTACATTTTTGTTCATTTTGACATATTTTTTAATAAAAAAAATAACATGGTGGAATCTATTGTGTGTTTTTGTGCACATGATGTATACGCTGGTGAAGATTCTCAGTTATCCAGGTCATGATCAATCAAAAAAGATGTGCATTTGAATATTTTTGTGATGAAGAAAACATTAACATTCAAAGAGATTTGGTTTTTGTTTCCCTGGGSCTGCAAGTTTTCTTTTTAACTGCAAATGCATGCACAGTATTTGCTCAGATTGAAACTGTTTAAAAAGGTCAGTGAGTTGCATGTTTTAAATGCTTTAATCAAGGATGTAAAAAAGAAAAGAAGAGGAAGAAGAAATCAACAGTTGGTTGAAAATCGAGTACACTATTGAGCCGGATTGATCAAAATTCTTTGGCAAAATAGGTAAGATCGCTTCACAAAAAGAAAATGGTAAACAATCGCTGAATGGCAGTGAAATAACAGAACACAGGGTGAACTCAGGACACAGTTATCGACACATTTTCACACACATGATGAAAGTTCTTGATAATGTTCCAAACTGTTCAATAAGCTCAGTGCTCTGTAACCTTTGAAGTTGTTCTGTTGTATAACAAAAGCATTTCCAATCTAAATTGTGATTACTGTGGAAAAACAAACTTGTGTGTAATAAATCCATTTCTAATGGTTCATTTAAGATCAATTAAAAAAGTAAACTAAACATTTCTGTGTAAAGACCTGTCAGTATTTACTTTGTATGAAAGATGTAGGAGTCCGGAGAACTCTGTGTGTAAAAGCCAAGCCTAAAGAGCACTGTTTGTTATGGCGACCTTTTCAGTTCTCACACATCCTTGTTTAAAAAAACTGTCATGCTGCCATTTCCAACACAGTCACAAGGGCTGAAAGACACCTTGGAGGAATACCGTGTTCTTCCCTCATGCACCCACCCCCCACAAAAATCTGGGATCTATAATGAGACCCTGCTGTCAGTTCACAGCTCGTGCTGGGTGCTGGTGGACTGCTGAAGCCTCTTTACTCTTTAATCCATTGTTTTCACAATGTGGCTGTTCACTGTTCTTTGATGGGCTCCTTTTTTTAGCTTGATCTTCAGAGTAGGAGCTTRCTCGACACAATAGAAAGGCCTGGCTGTTTAAATGAGTGGGCTTGGTCTCGTTCTAAATTTAAAATCTTTGCCCTAACAAGTCGAACACTCACCCATCAGCATCCATCCATCCACGTATCCATTTCCACACTCACTATAATGTGCAGTGATGCTTGCCTCCAGCAGTCATTGGGGGTATAGACGTGGAGTGGACTCTGGACAGGTCGTCGGTCACCACAATGCTACCCAAACAACCTGTCTCACTCACACCCATCGACTATTTAGAGCAGCCAAGAAGTTTAAAGGGTGATTTATACTTCCACAAGATGTGAGACAGTGGATCAGTGATTACAACATTTCGGATGTATTTTTCTTGCTGCGTGTTCATACTCACCTAGAAGACATGGGGGAAAATATCACCCTAATCCCTCCCATAACACTAACAAGGAAACACACATCACACATAGCTAAACGACAGTGACAGCAGGATGATGCATCAGACATTTGAAGAGAGGCTTGTGTTGTTGGATGAGGAACTTGTTTTTCTTCTCGTTAACCCTTTAACCATCAATGTACATTCCCAGTCTGTGGTTACATTCTGCCCTTTTTTATAGCCTGACCCATGCTACCAGGGACCGTAAATTTGCATAATAAGCTGTTCAAACAATTTGATTGGTRGTCTTCTTTTGATTGACACCCCTTTTGACCAAATGGACTCATCTATAGACTCTCCAAAGCTCAAAATCTGTGGCAAGCCCCTCGTGTCCCACCTGTCCGTGGTACACGTGATTGATTGACTAGAATCGGCCAATGAGCTCTGAACTTCATTCTGACACCACAGCTGTGTAGCTATGTTACTTTTTATTTGATATCCAGCTTTGGAAATTAAAAATAAGATTAATAGTTATAGCATGTTTTAACTTCAATAAATAAATACTAGTTACAGTTACAAAATTATGACTGCTAAAGTTAAACATTCAGATTGATAGCTTTACATAGTGACCAGGCTTGTGGATTTACGAAAGAGTTCAAGAGCAGTTCTTAATTTAATTTGGGTTAAGGTTAGGCCCACAGGTTAACAGATTAAAGCACAGAGATGGAAAAAGATTTGAACATCAGTTACAAGTTTCATCTTGTTAATTTAACAACCGGCWTCTGGGAGCAGACTGTTTTCAGCAAAATGATTCTCCACATAAAGAAATARGCCCATGAAATTCTGAGCTATCACACACTACAAACTGCATAGGTCTGTGAAGCTTGAATTATACTACAATTGGACTAAATTAAGTGGTAATTTTGGAAGTCTTTTTCCTGAGTGAATATAAACGAGCTGAAGATGCGGCGGGCTGTAAATGATCATAGATCTTCCCTCTGCCATCCCACAGCTCATACGTATAAGTACATAAACAGCAATAAATATGGCTGGACATTGTGTTTTCTAATTTTTAATCACTTAATGTGACAAGTTTTGTGTTTAGGATTCAGAACAGCCAAACACTGAGCAAGTTTAAGTGTTTTATTAAAAAACAGGAAGCTGGTGGGATGCCAGGGTCTCGGGTTGGTGCACACTGAGGAGGAGAACAAAGATAAGTGACTGTTCACTGCACAGGATTTGCTTTGGCTATAGATATTGGTTACTGACCTTTTGGAGCGGATTAGAGGAGCTTGGCAGATCCACAAAATGAGACTGTGGCTCATGGGTAGTGAGAGGCAATGATGGAGCAAAGGGGTAGGCTTTATTCGTTGGTCTGGCAGGCAGGCAGGCAGGTAGAGGTCAGGTCCATGTGATCAGAGAGCCAAAGATAAATCCAGAACACAATCCAAAAGGCAAGGTCCAAGGGGCAGAAACTAGGTCTTAATCCAGTGGTTAGAAACATGAACAGTACCCGGCAGGGATCAGGCAAAAAGGGAGAGTCAAGAGGCAAGGCTTGAGGTCGTGGACAGGAGAGCAGGCATGGGCTGTGGAAAAACTCGACATCTACTTGGCAAAAACCGTTCAGTAATCTGGTAGAGAGTGGTTGTGGCTGAGGAGCTGATAAAGGGACCAGAACAGGTGAAACAGATGAGCTAGATTAGGGTGACTGAGCAGGGAGAGTGTGACAAGAGCTGTGGAGCTGTGAGGCTGTGGGTGACAAGCAAACATAACACTAGAAAACATGAAACATGAAATGTTACATAATGATCATTGATCATTTTCGTGCTGGGTGAAGAAGAGTCCCTGGAGGAAAGACTTRTTTTTACGTTAACATTGGTGATGGAAAAAATACGTCAAAATCTGAAAATCAGCTGCTTGCTCAAGTTTAATAGGATCAAATCAGCAGCTCTTCTAGCTCTTTTAATAACTGTCTTTGGACAAAAACATTTTAAATCAAAGAACATGCAGAGGGCAAATCTGATCAAAGTTTCAGCGCTGTGTTCCTCATGAACAAACACACCCATGAAGTTCTAACCAATCACACGTTCTGAGCCGCAAGGTCTGCATCTCACAGTTCTGATTGGGGGAAATGCACAAGACGGCTGTCACCTGGGGATAGCATCCAGTGGCGGCTGGTCAATAGGGGCGCACGTTCATCCCCCCCTCCCCCCCACAC